GAGGCCGGGCGCGGCTCACTCACCAGGCAGCCGGGTCGTCCTCGGCCCAGACCCTGATGAACTCGTCCAGGTGGTGAGGCCCTAGGATGGAAGAGTCCCGCGTGAGGTACTCAAAATTGTCCATGATCACCGCCACAAACAGGTTCAACATCTGCGGGGCAGGAGGGAGAAGAGGCGACATGGAGACCTCAGCCTGCCCTCCCCGGGCCCCCCTCCAGCCAGAGCCTGCCCAGAGAGGCCCCCGCACCCCCAGGGCCCCCACACTTCTCCTGGAGGCCGCTCACATGCCACCACCAGTAGCAGCAGCCTCAGCCTCAGGTCTAACACTAACCATGCTTAGTCCTGATTCCAAGCCCCGGCCTAACTCAGGCCCCACCACCTCAAGCCTACGATCGTCCCGCCGTCCAGGTCTGCCCACCCCACCCACCCTCACGCCTCAGAGCTGGCCTTCAGGAGGCCATGAGCTCAGGGTCTTTTTAAAAACATGTATTTGTGTTGATGTCAGAGAGGAAGGGAGAGGAAAGGAGAGAGAAACATCAATGACAGAATCATGGATCGGTGCCTCCTGCACGCCCCACACTGGGGATGGAGCCCACAACCCGGCCTGTGCCCTGACGGGGAATCGAACCCTGACCTCCTGATTCACAGGTCGACGCTCAACCGCTGAGCCCCACCGGCCGGGCTCTTTGCCCATTTCACGTGGTTGTCTCTTTGTTGCTGAGCTGTAAGGTTCTTTCTGTTTCGAACTAACCCCCATGAAGTGCGTGAGCTGCAAATACTCTCCCCTCTGAAGACTGTTCACAGCACTGATGTCTTTGGATGCAGAGGTTTAACTTAATGACAAATCCACCGGATCGCTACAGCGTGTGCCGGCAGCGCTGGGCTCTCCACCGCCTCCCCCACCGAGCTCTGAAGGACCCGATTCTGGTGGCTTTCAGCCCCTCCTCCTGTGACAAGGACACGCTCGGGCCAGATGCTTAAAAACGGCAGTGGTCAGAGCGCCCGAGCGTGAAGTCGGAGAGGTGCGCGGACGGGAAGGGCCGCCCCAGGAGACGGGGCGCCTCAGAGCTGCCGCCCAGCGCCTTCGCCTTTCTTCCGATTCTTCTGCAAATGCATCTTCGGGAGCCCAGGACCAGGCCCCCAGGGTCCCGGGGAAGAGCAGCCGTTTCCAATCCTTTGTTCCTCAGACCCCTTGAGCTGAGTGCAGCCTGGAGGCGCCTTTAATTGTTTCCCCATCTGAGGCCACACTGCGTTCCCCCTCATCATCTACCAGGGCAGTGGCTGTGTACATGCCCCTTGTGACACACTCCTGACCTGTAGCTGCCTCTCCAGATGGCCCCTGCCAGGTAGCTGCCACTCCTGATAGTACCCACTGCTCACTCCCGCTGCCCTGAGTGGGCTCCCACACGCCAGGCAGGCGTGTCCCCTGCTCCCATCCCCAGCAGGGGCTGCTCCTCCGTGTCCGTGGCCACCCTGGGCGTCCTCCAGCGGCTGAGACCGCAGGGACAGCTGCCCGGGGAAGCCCAGCGCTCTCCAGAGGCTCAGGTGGGCACTCCTTTTATGTGAGTGGGGAGTTGTCTCTAAGGAATCAGCTTGCAGCGTGGCAGGAATCGAAACCAGGGATCACGAACGTGCCCCGAGATAGATGGACCGAGACGGAGACGGCACCGCTGGGCGCAGCGCCCGGACTCACCAGGAAGGAGCAGAGGAAGATGAAGGAGACGAAGTAGAAGTAGGCGAAGTCGCTGCCGCACTCGCTGGCATGGGCGTGCTCGTCGCATTTCTGGTTGCTGAGGCAGGACAGCATGATCTCGTGCCAGGCCTCCCCGGTGGCGCTCCTGGGGGGGAGGGAGCGTGAGGCGAGGAGGCGGCCCCGACGGCCTGGGTCCCCACCCAGAGACCCCATGTGGCTGTCAGGTCTGGGGACAGATGGCTGCTGCTAGAATAGGACCCTCAGGCACCAGACTCTCCAATGCTCATTGCAAATGACCAACAGCACCTGGAGCACCAGGCTGATGCCCTCTGTGGCCCCCTGAGCCCCGCAGCCCTGGGACCCCCACTTCCCAGCCTGGTGGCCTGTCCTTCCACCTGCTCACGCACCCCACCATCTTCCTCAGACACGCCCTGGCCCCCAGTCTGATTCCTGTTTCCCCCACAGCCCGGCGCAGAGACCACGGGGACCAGGCCCTGCAGGTGCTCAGCACGTGGCCCGGGCGGCAATGGGCAGAGACAAGCTGGCAGCGCTCACAGTGCCCGACTGCACTGCCCGTCAGTCCACGCTCACCTCCACGCGCTGAGGCAGCCGCGGGGCAGGAGGTCCCCGCACCGGCACGCACATGCATGCACACGTGTACATGGCCGTGCACACATTCTCACACCCACGCAGGCGCACACACTCATACGCGAGCCTGGGAAACGCCACCAAGTCCCGCAGTCTCACAGCCCCCAAACGGAGGACACGGCAGTGTCCCCGGGAGTCACGGCCCGTCACAGCCAGTGGCCGCTCCCAGCATCACCCCCCCGCCCAGCACGGGGTCAGACCCAAGCGGCTTGGGGCCTCCGCTGGGCCTCGCCCTCCGGCCTCTGCAGCCCAGGCCTCGGGGGGCAGCGGGCG